TAATCTGCAAAATACTTTGTTTCCTTCAAAATATATTAAAGAGTTTTGGAAAGAAAACCAAACAAATCACATAAAAGTGAGATGGGCAGCTATATAAATTGAATAAATAAATAAAATTCAGTGGCAGTTCAGATTTTACTAATAATTATCAGTATTAGATTTCTAGTATTAGATTTCTAGCATTAGATTGGTATAGCTAATTCGGAAAGATTTGTAATAAGTTTCTTTTCGTTTGTTATTGCTCCAACATTCACATTTCTTTTGTCTAAAATATATGCTTAAATTACAAATTACAATATAATATTTAAAAATAAATCAGACCCATAAATAATTTCTTGGAGTAATTGTACCAGTAGAGAGGGAAAATATTGTTAGTCAGCCACCGATACAAATCTTACACCCTATAAGGATCATCTGATGATTATATGCTATGAAATCAGTGTTGACTCTTAGCAACCACATAGATAGATTTTCTCCAGGATGATTTGTACCCAACCTGACCTTCAGGTCTTTCAACAGTGTACCCATTGCTGCTGTAATCAAGCCTATCCACCTTGCTGCTGGTCGTCCTCTTCTTTGTTTTCTTTCCACCTTTCCCAGCATTTCCTGAGAGCTAGGCCTTCATATAATATGTTCAAAATTTGATGATTTGAACATGGTCATTTGTACTGTGAGTGAGAACTCTGGGTTCTGTGATCAATTTGTTTGTTTTCCTGGAATCATTGTCTGCTCAGTTCAGATCTTTGTTGGTATAGACATGTCACAGCATCTGACTATTTTCTTCAAGGCCTTCATTGTTATTCTACCAAGTGCTAATCTGCAGAGTATTTCTTGATTGCTGGTTGCTTTACCATTGATAGTTAACCCTAACAGATAGAACCTACCCACCACTTCAGCATCTTCATTATCAATTCTAAGACTGGTTGCTGCACCTGTTATCAGTAATTAGGTCTTCTTTATATTTAATCTTACTCCTATTTTTCACTGTGCTCCTCAATTTTCATTACTAGAGCTGGCAGATCATTTGCATTTTCAGCTATTAGAGTAGTGTCATTAGCATAGTGTAGGATATTGATGTTTCCTCCTCCAATTTTAAAACTATACTCAACTTCTTCCAAATTCAGCTTCCCTTTATGTATATTCGACATATAGGTTGAATAAATACAGGTAGTCCTCGTTTAACGACCACTCATCCAGAGACCGTTCAAAGTTATGATAGCACTGAATGAGTGGTATTTATGACCAGTCATCTAAGTTCCGGCTGTCCCAGCATCCCCATGGTCATGTGATCACAATCTGGGCACTTGGCAACTGGCTTGCACTTACGATGGTTGTAGCATCCCACAGTCAAGCGATAGCCATTTACCTGCCAGCTTCCCACAAGCCAAGTCAATGGGGAAGCCAGCAGGGAAGGTCACAAGTCACTCCAGTAAGTTGCTCATATTCTCCCCCACCTGGCAGTAGCCACCCTTGGCCCTGCTGCACTCACACCACACCACGTAGGCTACCTGTGCGCCCTCCTCTGCCCAGCAGCAGCCAGTTACTTGCCTGCTGGCCTGCTTGCAAGCTGCCTGGCACTCACTTAACAACCCGCAATCCTTGCTTAATGACAGCAATGGGGAGTCCGAGATTGCTGTTGCTAAGTGATGTGGTCACATGACATCATGCTTTATGACTACATCACTTAGCGATGGAAATTCTGGTTCCAATTACTGTCATTAAGGGAGGACTACCAGTAAGGAACCAATGTACAGTCTTGTCTAGTACTATATCTCCCTTTCCATGTATGGCTCTAATCTGTGCTTAATGATCTTAAGTATTATTTTGCTAGCATGTGAAATTAAGGATATTGTAGAATAGTTTGCATACTCTATTAAGTTTTCTTTCTTTGGTATTGGTACATAGAATGACCCTTCCAATCTATTGGCCACTATATCATTTTCCAGATTTGCTGCATAGTTGGTTAGAACTTTACTTTTGCTTGCCATATTTATGTAAGTATTCCACAATTCCTGTAGCCTTGTGAATTGGTAATGATTAGAGTGCTGATCTAATGTCATCTTTTGGCACTATGTTGTTATAAGTAGGGAATGTCATCTAAGTTACCCTGGATGTTGACATCTCTATTGTATAGAATTTCAGTACTGTATACTTTTTCCATCTTTGATTTTCTTTCAATCAATAACTGATCATTGGCATCCTTTAGGACCCTGATTTGATGTTGGAACCTCCTCCTGAGTTTGGAGGCCTTTTGGAAGACTTTCCTTGCCTTCCCATGTCTGTTTCCATCTTCAGTGTCTCTACAAAAGTTGTTGTAATCCTGCTTCTTGTCTTTCTAACAGTTCTCTGATTTTTGTTTTGTTTTGTTACGTTCCTACTTGAGACATCTATCTTTCTTGGCTTTGGCATCTCTTCTCTTCTTGGCGATTTTCACCATTTGTTCTGACATCCAGTTTGCTTTCTTCTGCTCTGTAATCTTGCAGTCTCTTTTCACATTCATCCTTAACAACGTCTTTGACTTCATCCCACAGGTCTTTGTCTCCCAATTAATATGGTTTCAGGACTTCAGAGCAATTCCACTCTTGTTAAATGTTTTTCATCCCTTTATATGGAACTTACTCATTTGCTAAGGGCAGGGATGGACGAGCTGCTATTAAGTCTACACCAAAAAAAAAGAAAAAAAAGAAATATTTCTATCATACTTATCTTTTCATTTATTCCGTTTAAAAGTAGTTGGGGAGGAGGATAATTCAATTGGGGATAAGGTATACTATGAAACAATAACATCAGTCCAGTTGTAAAACAGTGACATCTAGTTCTAAACAGCTGCTTAAAATTCTCAGCACTCATCTACATACACTGTAGGTGAATACATACACTGTATGACATTTTAAAGAAGTAATATACATTTGGTAGAAATAGTTGATTGGACATACCAAGTTTTGGATTTGGTAGACTTTTGCCAGCTTTTAAAGATGTGGCTATTTCTTTAAGAACAGGGGAGGAGAACCTGTAGCTATAGCCATCTGCAGAATCTTGCTAGTGGGATCTTACTGTTCTCTGATCTTGGTTTTCTTCTTGCAAATGTTTCCTTACCAGATTAGGTAACATCATCACTGTTTTGACACACGGGAGATGTTGGTTTTTTATGTGTGGCAGCTGGTCTTGATCAGGGTTGCTATTTGTGTGCCTGTTTCTGATTAGTCTACCTGGCTTGGTTGGCTGCATTAATGTAATCTAAGATCCCCAAGAATACTGTGGACAGCCAGGAAAAGAAACAAGTACATCACCAAATAAAAAAACAAACCCAGAGTTCTCACGCAAGGCACAAATGACTAGCCCAAGTTATTCTAGTTTGGACACATTATGCAGACCTAGCTCTCTGGAGAAGGTTCTAATGCTGGGAAAGAAAATATAAGAGGATGATCAGCAGCAAGGTGGATAGACTCAGTTACAGTGGCGACAGGTGCACTATTGGAAGACCTGAAAAGCCAGGTTAGGGACAGATCATCATGGAGAAAATCCATCTACATGGTGTCAGAATCCTCGCAAGATTTTATAGTAGAATTTACTGTTGGCTAGTTGGTAGTTGCGTTTTGCATGCTGCGGTTCTGCCATTGTAAAAGGTGGGGGGGGGGAGAATGGGGGGTAATTAGATGTAGCACCATTAGAGGCAGATGGCTTCTTATCACAGGCGCTGGAATGCTCAAGGCCGTACCAGGGGGAGAATCAGGGGACTAAGCAGGCAAGGGGGGTAAAGGAGGGAAAAAGGAGAAAAAAGAGTTTTTGGCACGCAGAGGCTTAGTCTTAGCAATGCTTTGGAACTGTACACTTGTTCTCAATAA